TTACACATGAATGGTCACACGGATATATACATAGACATACGTATAGAGCACATAATGCAGTTTATTGAGCAGGGATGGGCATAGTTATTCAAATATATAGCTATCAGATCTCATTATTTGTTTACTTAATCAAATTTTTAAATAAGCTGTGTGCAGTTTGGAATGAAATATGAAATAAATTGTCTGGAATCTGGTAACGTTAAACTAGGTTTAGTGAGCATGCAATGAAGAAAGGCGGAAAATGTTAGACACACAGCCCGTATTGTGATTCACATTAAGGGAAATGGCAACATCTAAGCAGAGCTATGAAGGCCTGTAGCTGCATTGTAAGCAAAAAGATGACACGTTAAATGGAAAACACTGATTTTTATCCCATTTTCAAGCTTGATTTGGATCCCGGCAACTAAACTTCAGGATCGCTTCATCGTCCACTGAAGGGGACACCGATGTCTGATTAGTCTCACAAGCCAGACTTCTGCCTATAGGTACATATCACTGTGTAATGTTTCCAAGAACTGCCTACTTTGCGAGGAAGATGCCTTTTTTACTGATATGCTAAAAGACCAATCACAGCCTTCTGTTTTGCACGGCGTGTAGAGGGAGATGATCGTGAAAATCCCATGGATTCATGCTCTGAAAGGCTCATATTTCATCAGTGTCCAGTGCAGGCAGATTTTGCTATTGCAGACTAGAATTTAGCTGGAGAAACAACTTTATTTCCCCTCTGAATGATAAAACACACTGCACGGAGGGGTGTATACATGGATGTTGCCGATATGCAACTGACAAAATCCTGAGAGTTGTAGCCAGCTTTGTGTGCCAAAGATATCAGATGCTCAATCAGAGATGGATCAGCGACCCATAATTGAGTGGTTGGATGATCTGATTTCTGACATCAGAACCTAGAGTTTGAGCAGTTTCACAGACCGATTTCTCGAAGCAAAAAGCAAACCACACACGACCACAACCACTGCCACTGCACAATTGAAGAGTAGGCAAAAAGTTTTATTCAGTAACAAAGTTTGTATATGCCAACTCTGCTCTGTTCTACTGAAGGAAATTGTTTATTCTAGACTGTAGAAAGACTTGGTGCACTTGTGAGACTTGCTTTCTCAGCATTTTTGTTTGGTATTCAGGTGTATAGCTTGTTATTTTGAATAAAACAGGTTTATTGGAAACTGTCCATACAGAGAGCTTTCTATAGGGGTTGCCATTAATATCTAACACGAGCACTTATCGCAGCATGTCAATCGGACAGGGCATTTTCGTACCGTGTGAGCATGTAGGCCGTACGCCATACATGATGGCCAATTCAAACATGCAGTGTGAGTTGTCAACAAAGAAGATTTTCAAAATTTCAAAATTTCCAATTCCCAAAAATTTGTTATTCAAAACAATATATATTTTTTCTAATTGGGATAGTTGAACACTATTTGTGTAAAAATACAGATGTTTGGAGAAAAATTATTAAAACGATTCAAATGCCCATACATATTAGTATATTTAGTGAAAAACAACAGGACGAGGGGAAATTGCGATGTATCCAAGGAAATCCTGTTCTGTTTCTTTATCTGCTCTGCAAAGTTCAGCCTTATGTGTATTTTTGTGTGTTTGTGTGCATGTGGTCACACAGGACACCATCTTTTCCTCACTAAAGTGCACTGTGGTTCAAATGTCAAGCTCTCTTATCTACCACCTCCACCAACCAGCTCCTCTAACTTGCACTCGTCTCCTGGCCTAGGAAAGCTCTTCCCTGGGCTCAAACTGAGCCTGCTGACCCTCAGCGCCCCACAAGGCCTTCACGCAGAGCAGTGACCCGTAACCACTCAGACACGGGGCAAAAACAATCCTACTACTCCAGGTTAACAAGTTCATGCACCATGTCAGTCACCTGAGTCCTGCATGTGCGCTTTGACACCATACACTCTGACGTTGGTATAAGTAGGTACACTCTGCCATTAACTTTTTCCATGCTCCATCGAGAAGGGAGGGTTTGGTGAATTTAAAAATGCTTCAAGGTTAGCTGCAAACCCCACACACCCAAAGCAGACTGCAGGCAACTGCAGGGAAAGGCTTTTGTTGGCCAGACACACAGTGGAATCAAGAACAATGGAGAGTCAGGAGTGGGAGAGGGACGATCATTTTTCATTGCACCATTTGGCCTTTTCCACAGACGATGTGAAGGAGCAATTTAAAGTATGATTAATGATGATAATAAGGTCAAATGTTGATCATTTATTCTCACTACACATCCTTTGTAGAATTTTTCAATAGAAAATAACAGAGCGTATGCTTTGGAGAAGGTAAACACTGTTATCATTGCATCAGTAGGTGCTATACAGCGCATTGTCATATATAATAGAGTGAGACATATAGTAGCCAGAAGAAAAGACACAATGTTCAATCTTTTTGGAAGGGACATAAAACACTGATATGGATTTCAGCACACTTAACCGTTCTAAGCTTTTCTGCTACAGGGTGTCTTGCCATTACATTGTTGCTCAATTGCAGGAGCACTCTTCTATATTGCTTCTGTTGTCCTTGCAAATCCCCAAGCTGCCACCCCCTTTGTTTGAGCTTTTTTCCCTGTTAAACATTATTTGCAGGGCTTATCATGCTGCTGAAACTCAGTTACCATCTGATGAGGGAACACAAAGTGTTGTTAGCCAGGTGCAAATAGCAAAAGCATTGACACTGTGACCTAAGTGCGAGAGAGAAATCCCCCATACTAAATGAATATAAATATGTGGAAAAGCCTACAGAGAAAAAATGTTATATTTAAGAGAAACCTGTGGGAATACCAGGAGCAAATGTAGAGCTGTGTGGCAACAGACACTGTGCAAGGAAAATGGTCATTAGTATCAGTAGATACTTTCTTTGGAGCTTCTCTCTTGGTGCTTCCAGCAAAATTGAGGCAAAAAAGAGAACATAAAAGTTTCCCTTACATTCAGTGAGTACATCATTTGTGCATATAAAGTGAAACGTCCAGAGTTTTCAGCATGGAACGTGCAATAGTGTGAGCACTGAAAGAAGTGGGATTGGTTTAGTACTAGATTATTGAAAATGTTGCTTTTCATAAATTCATGAGCTCTTTTGTTTGTGTTTCCACCTTGCTTACCTCCCGAAAGAGAGAAATCCTGAGAATATAAAATATAGATGAAGTAGCATTTGTACTGCATAAATCACTGCACCTCCATCCACACGCACTTAGAGCCGTTGGCACTGGTCGCTTACGCAGGGTGGGTTGTATTTTTTATCTATTTTTTTGTGTGTTTTCACTCTTGCCCAGTCTTACGCACACACACAAACAGAGGCCTGTGTCTGAGGCACGGCTTTACCTCAGCCTTTTGAACATTCATATTCACAAAAATAGCAGCTGCTCGTCTCCCTCTCTTCTCTCTTTATTTGCTTTCACTTATTTATTCATTTCTCTTTTAGTTAGCGTTTTTCGGTTAAAAATGTCATTTTTCTCCTCCTGTCGCAATTTGTGGACCCATTTGACACGCCATCAAAAAAACAGCCCAATAATAATCTAGAACGGTTTCCTTAGGAGATGAAAGGGGTGGAGACAAACACACACATACACACAAGCAAGCATGCGCACGAGCACACGCACACACAGACACACACTTGCGGAGTGTGGCACTAGGCGAGCTTGGCTGAAAGATATGGCAGGGCTGCCTTGGGACAGCTTCAAAGCCCAGTGACATAAATTTATGATAGCAGCACCACACTTTTTTGCCAAAACGGAGATGCTGTTGTTTTGTGTGTGTGCTGGGGGAAGAAGAGGGGGAGGATGGGTGGCTGGAGTTTTCACTGCCATCTCCTTGATCATGCTCATGGAAAACGCTCCCTCACTCAGCCAGCTGGTACCCCTCGCTCCCCTGAAAGCAGGAAGACCTCCTTTATATAATTAGACTGTTTGTGAATGCCCGTGTGTGTGTGGATGTGTGCCATCACAAGAGTACTATATAAAGAACGTATACTTTGGCACTAGTGAATGTTTTTCCGCTTCCCTGTTCATTTTCAGGTTTAACCCTTAGAAGGCAATTTATTACGGTTGTTTTGCTGTACTATTAAAAAGTAATTTCAGATTACACAGTCGGGTTCCCACAAATCCTGGAAGACCTGGAGATGTGTAGACTAGTTTTCCATTAACCTGCTAAAGAAGAAAGTGATCAAATATCCTGGAAATATTAGTGCAGTCCTGGAAACATGTAAAACTGGGCCTTTAAGCCACTGAGATAGTATATTTTAGCATATTCTTTTTTTGCATACTTTTGAATATTTTAACTTTTAATGCCCAGTTTGACCATCCATTCACACCTATTGTACTTCCGAATGCTACAGTGCCACATGTGGACAGATTTATGGATGCTGTGTCTGAACGCCTGGTAGAGCGAGGCTACGATAACACGCTTACTGAATCAAGTAGTGTTAACTTCTAATATTTTAGTAGAACTTGTGTGCACATAATTGGTTGAGAAATGGTTTGTGTGAGTGTTTCAGTGGGTCACTTTATCAGTAAGGGGTTGTTAGGGTTATATTGTCAATATTAATGTCAGTGTTGTCTCATTTTAAGATGAGCTTTCATGAGCAACAGCTGTCATGTATGTAAGTCATAAAAATTGTCCTCATATTTGTCCTGGAAAAGGATTCCCTAAAACTCTGGCCTTTGATTACCTTTGATTTACACCAAATATAATGTATACACAACAGTAACTTTGTTAAATTTAAATCATAAAACATCTCCTCCTCTCTTAGATCTTCTTCTTCTACGTTTGTACTTGCAAACACAGATGTGGTATCGACTGAAAGTGTAGAATCTGCAATTCTGATAGAATTTCCCCAGTTGCTTTAATGAGCTATGAGTGAGAAATAATTAATATTGAAATACTTTGTGGTGTTATTATTGCCAGCTATAACTGTTGCAACTATTGTCTTTTGTATTTCTGTGAACTGTGACATGGCAGTAAATCTAATCTGCTCTCTCTTTGCAGAAGAGGACTGTGTGAACTGCACGGATGAGTGTCGGGTACTGGGTCACTCGGACCGCTGCTGGATGCCCCAGTTCCCTGCTGCGGGCGGGGGAGGGGCAGGCGTCCCCCAGGCCGAGGGCTCAGACTACCGCACCAACCTGTTTGTTCCCGCTGGCATGGAGGCCGTGGCTGTGGAGCCCGAGACTTATGAAACGGTGGGCAACCCTAATGGTAAGAAGACTTTCTGCACATTCGGCAAGGAGCGGCGAGACCACACCATCCTGGTGGCCAACGTCAAGCCTTACCTGAAGGCCAAGCGTGCCCTCAGCCCGTTGCTTCAGGAAGTGCCCTCGGCCTCATGCAGCCCTACCAAAGGCTGCAACAGCGGCTCACCATGCTCCTCAGCCAAAGGCGTGGCGGACGGAGCTGAGGGCAAGCCCAGCACCAGCCACTATGGCGTCCCCGATGGACAGTATGCCTCACCCAACAAGCAGAGCAGAGAGCAGGGCTACTCGGACCCCGTGGCTAAAGTCCTGGCGGAGGCGCGCTCGCGGATCAGCCAGGAGACAGCAGCCGAGATGCAGGACTGCACGCTGGAGCAGGGCGGGGTCGAGTTAGGCCGGAGCGGTGCCATGGACGCCGACCAAGTGGTCAGAGACATCGATAAACTGCTGCAGGACTGCAGGGGTAACGAGGCCACATCGGTGAGAAAGTGAACAGGCTGATGCTTCAGACTGCTATGAAAAGATGAAAAGGGAAAGAGGTAGGAGGGACAAGAAAGTGCGTCAGCTTCGGAAAACACTCTCTGAGAGAGTGGAGCGCACACGGGTCAGGCAGACAAGAACAAAAAAAGACGTCTGATGAACAGTCCCATTCAGAAAAAAGAAAATGCCAGGTTGTCTGGATGCCATGTTGTAATTTGGGGGAGGGGAGGGATTCTTTGGGAGTTGCAGAAGTTGCTGCTTCTGGCTTCTAGCAAGCTTTTTCTTCAAGTGCCCACCAGCTAAAAACTTTCATTCTGACACCTTTCTTGGAACAATGAACGGCGCACACCGCCCCTCTCGGCCCAGAGGGTCCTGAGAGAATGGTTTATTCTGACAATCGCAGCTAAACGAAGGGAGTGGATCAAACACCCCCAAATGCGGTTGGACCTCATCAAAACAGAACCATGCTCTTATCTTTTCAGACTTTGTATTATCAATGTATGGAGTGCAACATATCTCTGATATCTCTTAACCCGAGGGGGGGAGGGTGGTTTAAAAGGGTGGGCGAGGGGTGGTAACAGGGGTGCTTAATTAAGAAATGTAACCATTTCTTCACTGGTCATTTCTATTCACATGTGTAAGCTGTGTTTCCTCCCCCCATGTATACGTACATATGGAACATTCCAGAATGGTGAAACTGTTACTCTTTCACTCATTGGTCCTTTGTGTGAACGCTGTCTTCAACTGTCTTCAACTCGTCACTTCCTTTGTAAGTGACTTTCCACGTGTCCAACATTTAAATTAAGGCAATCACAATCGTGTATATTAGGGACGTATTTCCTCAACTGTGAAAAAATATCTATATAAATATATAGATAAATATATATAAATATATGAACTTATGTATAGCGTCCAGATATTAACAAAATATTTATACATTTTCTAAGAAAAAAAATGATGGAAAATCGGGAAAAGACAAGCGTACTGACGCTGAAAATGCAGTTGATGATATTTATTAAACTGCAAAGGACACTGCTTTGGAAAACAAATGTCAAAAAAAGGAAAAAAAAGAACAAAAAAAGGAAATGTCCCTTCACATTGTCACTTATACACAATATCATTTAATGTGCAAAATGTATCCAATTTAATGTGTTTACATCGAAATGACATATTTTTATTGATTTTTTTTCTGCAATTTCTGTGCATATGAGCCAAATTGTTACGTGTACAAGAGCTATATTGTGTATTTTATTAAATTAATATATAGTTGTGTTGCAATATACATGGGCTTATATTGTATTTGGCAACTGTTGCCTTAGTAGCCGTCAAACTCTGTGAGTTTCATTTGCTATCGGGTTTGTTTTTTCTTCGTCGTCTTCTTCTCTCTCTCTGCTCTTAATGAACTGGCTGGCTGCTGTACGTCTGGCCACGTTTTTTTATTACGATTATTTTTAACACGCGTGTTCAAACGGATGCCTTCTGCTTTCCCTTGTTCGAAGCTTGTCGAGCCAGCACATTTCTATTCAAACGAAACGACAACGTCTTACAGTCTGAGGATTTTTTTAGTTTTTTGGCAACGCAGAGACAAAATTACAAGGCAGCTATTTTTTAATTGCAACAATTTCCTGTCATTTGAGTTTTCTTTTCCCCTCTATTTTCTCATCTCAAATCTAAATCTGCCATTTGTGATGATGCAGTGTGGAGTCTCTGGCTAACATTTATACTGCCTTACTCGTTTGGAGGACTAGTTGATGACTGTAGCGCACTTGACTACAGAAAGAGGATGGGTGGGGGGGTCTTCTGGAGAAGAATGTGCTATCTTGTTTTGTATATAAGGACCAAAAAGGGTTCCTCTTTTTGAGCAGTTTATGTATTCGGTTTATGTAAGTGTGTTTTCATCATCACGAGCCCAAAACAATTCACGCTCGCTCTTTCACTTGAGTTGTATGAAACTTGACGGTCTTTTGTTTTGATGCGTTTTTCCCTCCTTTTTTCTCCTCCAAGCGGAGCATTGTTGTAGCAGTAGAGACCGCATTCAAACGACGCGTTTATTTCAGGTCTACAGTTCGTGACAGCCTTGTGCGTTCACCTCACACTACCGCTTCTCTTTCTAAACAACAGACTACAAATCTTTATTTTTGAATCGGACTCCACTCCGCGCAGTGGACACTTTTCCTAAACGTAATGGCTGAAGAGGAGGTAACCGATGGCCTGATTTTGGTTCCACGGTGGCTCTGGATCATGCCGTGCCCAGACTCAACGGGTTTCCATCTCTCCATCGCTGAAGCTCTGTGCTACCACGACCCTTCTGCATTCTGACTGTGTACTCAAGTGAACTGTTGAACATAACAGGACCTGGAAAAAAGCCCAATACTTGGGGTGGGGGATGGGGATGGGGGTGGGGGAGGTGAAAAAAAAGCCCATGATCGACTATTTATGTCATTTCACGCAGTCGCCTGAGGAGCAAGTCAAACACAGGCCGCCCTCTGCAGCTACCGCAACGTAAAAAAGACTCCTATTATCCTTCACACAGGCATATTCACATATTTATACCTTTATTTATTTATATATTTATTTATTTGCCTACCAGCGCGTCTCCTATCCTGGCTGAAAGGAGGCGCGCTCTCGTTCTCTTTTCTTCCCTTGTCTTCCTTCCCTTTTTCTCCTGGTGCAGTGGGTTTATCAATACGGAGAGATAGCGAGGAAGGAGTTCAGTGTGAGGAGCTTTGTGTTGGTTTCTAAATGAGTTTTTTTCCCGAACACACTGACGAGCCTGACATTTTTTGACACTCTCGACATAACCGCAACAAATAATGAAAGGCGCCGCGGCGGCTCGCGCCTCAGAACGTCTTAACGCACGCACGCACGCGCGCCCCGCTCCGCTCGCTCATCAGCGTATAGTGCGACGGCGCGCGCTCCCTTTCATTTAAGCGAGCAACGCCTTCAACAGACATGAAAGGTTTTAAGAGCGTTTTTAACCCAAAGCCAGACAGATGGAAATAACTTCCCTGCTTGTCGTTTGTCTCCGTTTGTTTTTCCCCCTCTCGCACTATTTTTTTTCCCAAATCTTAGTCTACTCATTCTTCATGGCTTGCAAAGGTGTGTGTGTGGTACGCTAGTGGATGCCTCTGTGTGAAGGTATCTGTGTGTGTTTGGCCTTATCTCTGAACCTTTTACCTCTATAAAATGCTTTCTGTCTTACCTTCTAAATCAGAGCGCAGCCATGTTTCCAAGTTTATTATCGATCAGACAAACTGACCCTGTTTACACCTGGTTGTTTTATGTGACATGTATGCGACTGTAACTTAGGATTTTAATCACATGCATTTACACTTGGTAATCAGTGCGCCTCCAGTTAGTCAGACTGCAATTCGATCTTATGCAAATCAGCTCATATACAACAAGTTACCTGTGATGTTCCTGCTTTTTCCTGTTCTATTCAGAGGACAGTGTCACAATTTTGCACACCGTTAATTTCCAGACACCAATGTTTACAAGAAGATGGCTGTTTAGAGTAATCAGACTCTTGTATTAGTCATCCTGATCATAGATTATGTGCATTATAAAGTATTATAGCAAGACAGGGGCCGCGTCTCAAAGCTGAGGGGGGCTGCATTTCTTGGCCGTTGTCACTGAATGTTAATCCGTTTTGTAGGATCCTTCAAATGCAGCCATAAAATGCACACTTCGTTTATCCCTCGAGAGGTTTCCATTCAAACGTTTTGCAGATGTTATGCGCATTTACAAACTTCCGGCAGGAAAAAAGTGAATTTAGATGTGTTTCCATCCACTACAGTTATGCGAAGATGCTTTAGACGACAGAGTCTACCATGATTAGAGGCTGCATCGAAACGAGCAAGATGGAGAGATTTAACTCCATTCAGCATGTGTTTATGGCTGGATTGTTTGCAGCTCGGAGACACCAGGCAAGACAAGCAGTGGCCCACCTAAGGAGGGCTGAAAGCCTTACCCACGACGTCCACCTTGCAGCTGGAAACACAAACACACCAGACAGGAGCACACTGTGCAGAGCCATTTTTCAAACCAGCTTTGGATTAGGCAATTTAGAACGTCCAAAACAACCTTCGAAAAGCTATGCGACACGACTGAACCATCTGTAGGGCCAATTGTTTCTCACAGCTTGATGCGTTATTGTATATTCGAAGTAATGAATTTTTCGCATTTCGGCTTTAGTGACATTCCTACTTTTCCACCTCATCCTAGTGCAAAACTCTTTTTGTGATGTTCGGGTGTTTTTCCAAATTTCTGTCTTTTTCCATTCAGGTTTTTTTGCATATTTTCAGATTTCCAAAAAAAACTGGTGGATGGAAAACCCACTTTAGTCACCCAAAATCCTTCATGCACAACCAATAGAGGCGAGATGCTGCAAGACCAAAGTTTGTAAAGAAAAATGTTAAATGCAAGAATAAAATGTGTGACACTGCTTACGTCACTGAACTGATGTATCAGTACAGCCTACTCACACTGTCACTGCGCAGACTGTCACAAATGAAGTTAAACTTGTATAACATCTTGTTAAAATGCACCTCACACCACCTCGCAAAGTGGTTGCAGCGATCAGATTTAAATCGGTTTAAAATGGTGCATTTATACCTGCATTTAGTGCCATCCAGATATGATCCTGATTCTCAAGACGCATTTAATGTCCAGGTGTAAACGGGGTCACTGGAAGTCAAATCAGATCAAATACTGGTAGTCAAAACTACACACTTCACCAAGTTAAGGCCTGTATATAAACACGGGTGTTCTTCCAGTGAGGTGGAATGCATGGTTTATTACACAAGCCTTGCGAGCTATTTGCTGTCTAATGGAGTATAAGTTGCTGAGGTCAACACATAGTTTGAGATCCAGCATAATGCAGTGCACCCTCATTATTGTCTAATTACACCGGGTAGGCATGGCGAGGGATTGATCGCTGCATTAGTCAGACTGGGGTATTTTTGGCCATCAAAGTCTGGCGCTTCAACGCATAATTGAATGAGGCCCATTTTAGGACGCCACTCTTTTAAAAAACACCCCCCTCCTTTCCTCCTGCTGCTCCTAATCCTCTCCTCAACATACACTCACACACACATACACACGCTCACCCAGGGGGATCCACGATGCGCTGGGCAAAACAGGCAAAAAGAACAGAGGCATACATTGTATGGAT